CCGTGACGTCACAACTAATGATAGGCTTAGTCTCAGATTGGGCCAAATGTCGAGGGGTTTTAAATAAACATATGATACTTAGAGAGAAAATATATTTCCTATACATTCTACAAATTAGAAAAGATAAAATGGATTTTTTAAAATATTCAATTATTATTTTTAATATTTTGTAAGTAAAAATTACATATACTAATGCAAATATATATACAGTAAAACCCCCCTAATACGAACCCTGGATATAGTGAACCATCCCTTATAACGAACCCACGGGGATTCCCAATTCCATTCCATTGAAAATACCATCGTTATAACGAACTTTGTGATTTTTAAAATAACGAACTACCCCTATAACAAACCTATTAAAATTGTAATTAAAAAAAAATTAAAACAACAAAATTTTGAGCATGTTTCAGCTCGCAGATCGTGATTTCAAAACAATAAATTTAGCGCCATTGTTTGTTTTTCATTTCCATTCTATTTTTGCTGTATGTTGTATAAATTTTTGCACATTATACTTTTTATTAAATAGAATATCTTTACAATTATTAAATTTGAAATAGAAAAAATGCAAATGGCTTCCAAAATGAAGAAAAAAGGCATTCTAAAAACAAAAACGTTATTAGTAAAGAAAAAAAAAGCCATTTCAAAACTTTTCAAAGTGAAACAATACAGGCAAAATTCAGAACATTATAAAATAAGAAAATATAACTTTATATTATAAGAGATAAAATAGAAGGCTATTAAAAATGGTTACAAAGAGGGATCAACCTTAACTTTTGCAGCGATCGCAATCATACGTGCTAGGGATAAAAATAAAAAAATATATAAAAATAGTGCAAATAAATGGACCTGTGATGAAACAAAAATTACTTTTATGTCATGAACTATTGTGATTTTAAAGCCAGCAATGTTTCGCATGACACGTTAAGAAAAAAAAAATCTTTACTTAAGAAGAATATGTGAAAACATAAAATATAACAAAACACATTAACTCTATTTGAATGGTGCAATGCTTGAAGAATACTTTGAATCAACATGGTATTAGAACCAATTTTCCAAGTAAACATTGTATTATATAATGTGATAAAGATATTTTAAAATCATTTTATATCTTTTAATATATATTTAATAAAACTTTGCCTAGGATTTGTCTTGTTTTTAAATTAGACCTAGAGGTACATGTATGCTAATGATAAGAAGAACCTATCATCAAATAATTTCTTTTATTATTCAGTATTAATGTAAGGAAATAGGTAAATTAAGGGAATTGAAACAAGTGACCACTATTAATAGGCAGCCTCTTCCAGTGTGTATGGCCGTCCTTTAATTATATGTTCTAAAAATTTTGAAAAGTTAAAAATTCACCAAACTGTGGCTATAGTGAACCAAAAGCTCTGTCCCATTGGGGTTCACTATAGAGGGGTTTTACTGTATGTATATATATATATATATAGTATAGTTATGAAAAATTTTAAGATTAATAAATTTTTTTATTTAATTTAAATGTGTGAGGTTTATTTTTTAATTTTTTTTTTGTAATAAAAAAACAAACCTCACACATTTAAATTAAATAAAAAAAATTATTAATCTTAAAATTTTTCATAACTATACTATTTGATACAGAATTAGCTTGCTGTTCTGACTCAAAATTAATTCAAAATCTGTTGTTCTTAATAGTTTACTTTTCCTCTATTTTCCAAATATAAAAAAAATACTATTAATATATATATATATATATATATATATTAAAAATAAAGAAGGCATCTCCTGACCACGAGCACATGTGCTTTTTAGATGGTAGAGCGCCATCTAGTGGAGCAAAAATAAACTAAATGTTTATTTAGCTTGCTCTGTGATATTTGGCCAACCCAATTTCTTGATAAATCAAGAAAAGCCATCCACGAACGCGTTTCGCGCTGTTGGCGCTCGTCAGCATGGAGTAGGCTGTAACCACTGCGACCAAAAAGATTTTTTGGTCCCAATGGCTTCCCGAGAAATCAAAAAATGGGTATTTAAGGCCAAATTTGCGTAAAGACGCTTAACGCATGAAAAAACAATAGAAAAAAATAAAAGATAAGTAGGTCAGGTGTTGATATTAAAAATAAAGACGTTTAGTTTATTTTTGCTCCACTAGATGGCGCTCTGCCATCTAAAAAGCACATGTGCTCGTGGTCAGGAGATGCCTTCTTTATTTTTAATATCAACACCTGACCCACTTATCTTTCATTTTTTTCTATTGTTTTTTTCATGTGTTAAGCGTCTTTATGCAAATTTGGCCTTAAATACCCATTTCTTGATTTCTCAGGAAGCCATTGGGACCAAAAAATCTTTTTGGTCGCAGTGGTTACAGCCTACCCCACGCTGACGAGCGCCAACAGCGTGAAACGCGTTCGTGGATGGCTTTTCTTGATTTATCAAGAAATTGGGTTGGCCAAATATCACGGAGCAAACTAAATAAACGTTTAGTTTATTTTTGCTCCACTAGATGGCACTCTGCCATCTAAAAAGCACATGTGCTCGTGGTCAGGAGATGCCTTCTTTATTTTTAATATCAACACCTGACCCACTTATTTTTTATTTTTTTCTATTGTTTTTACATATACAGTCGAACCTCTTTAATTCAACACCCCAAGGGATCAGAGCTTTCGGTTGAATTAAAGGAAGTGTTGAATTAAGGTTATATGATTAGGTAATCATCTAACTCGCTAAAATAATATTTTTTTTAAATAGCTTTGTAATATAAATTAATGATATTAATTGAAACCATTGTGTGTTTTTATATTATTTTCATGATTAACTTTTAGTATCAGTGACAAAATGGCATTAATACATATTTTAGAAATATAAATAATTGTAACAAATAAATTTATTGGCAATGTGTTTCTTTTCAGTAATATAATCAAATATTAACTCTACAGACATTAAAATATTAAATATAATATATTAAATAATATTTTATTCTAATTGAAAAATATAGCAGTTGAAAGGAAATAAATATGGTAAATATATAAAAAGAAAATTTTAAAATATTATTTTAAAATAATCATGAAGAGATCTTTTAAAAAATTCCTTTATAGATATCTGTTTTTGCACTGAAATCCTATTCAGGATGTATTCCAGATGGCATTTTGAAAAAACATGCATGCCTTTCTTTCTCTGAAATGTCTTTTAATAAATAAATTTTAATGTATTAAAGGCATCCACTGCTGCTGCAGGTGTTATTGATTTTGTGTTTAAATCTTTTATAATAACACAGAAATGGAATATTGAAATAAAATGTTATCATAATCATTGTTGGATCATTTTATAAAGATTTATTTATTTAAAAAGAAATTATTTATAAATTTAAAAATAGCTAAAATATTTCAATGTTAAAAATAAAAAAATAAAAATTATTATTAGTTAGCGCATGATGCCGAAATTCCCGCGTAAAAAAAACAACAATAACATCCGCGAAATTGCGCAACGGCACTGCAAAGTGAAACTTAAACTAACCAGAAACCAAAAGTGCGCAGGCGCGATCGTATCGGCGCCCGCTGTTGCCGATCGTCGCCGCCCGCCGATGCCGATCGTCGCCGCCGTAATACCGTTTAGCGGTAAAGTTGCATGTAAAATAACATTCAACTGTCGAAATTCGAATTTTAAAATGGTCGAACTATCGGAACTGTCGTATTATCGATACTGTCGAATTACGGTTTGTTATTTGATAGGCCGGAGGTCGGGACATCGGAACATGGTCGAATTATCGCCGAGTGTCGAATTGGGGTGTGTCGAATTAACGAGGTTATACTGTATATATATATATTATTCTGAAAAATAGAGCAATCCATATTGTTATATTTGTTCATAAAGGGCATATCTTGGATTCAATAAATAATCTTTTATTTCCGATATTTCGATGGGCTAAACGACCATCTTTTTCTAGGATCTCATCCCTTTTCGCGGCAAGCCGCACGTTACTGAGATCCTAGAAAAAGATGGTCGTTTAGCCCATCAAAATATCGGAAATAAAAGATTATTTATTGAATCCAAGATGTGCCCTTTATGAACATATATATATATATATATATTGTAACAAAGTATTTATTTATTTATTTATGCTTATGAGGTGATACAGCAGCGTATTTACAATTAGAGAGGAGACAAAATGAGTTAAATCTAGAAAAGTATTTATTATTTTTATTAACAGAGTGGTTATTTTTATGATTATATTTTGCTACTCCGTAAATTTCCGTCATGGCTTATCTTTTGTTTTACCATTCATAGTTTGTTCTTGCCTGAAATAAATTGCTGTCTCATCCCGAAGTTGGTCTTCCCTAATTTTCCATGTGGCAATATAAATACAGTAGAACCTCCCTGTAAAGAACATTTAATTGCAGAGCCAAGGTGTCCTTTAAAGAGAGGTGTCCTCTTACCAGAGAGTTTCTTAATAGTAAAAATGATAATTTTTCAAATGGAAACTCTCTTTTTTGTAGAGAGGTGTCCTCTATCGGGAGTGTCCTCTCATGGAGGTTCTACTGTACTATAAATAAATAATAATGATACCCTCCAGGAGCCTGGGTTACCTTTATGTTATGTAAATAAATAACATACATCAAATATTTGTTTAAAATAAGCCAATTATTTTATTGATATAAGATAAAATAATCTTTATATTGAACTTTGAGATAAAAAGAGTTTTTTTTTTTTGCTTATCCCTAGTACACGTGGTACAGGCCATGATAATCATGGTGGGTAGTTAGCGACTGCTTTTTACTGTAAGCGCACCACATGTCTACACATGTGTAAAGCAGTTCGACTTTGCACTTACAAATATGCCAGAGCCCCGTTTGGTTACTTGCACTCGCTGGTGGGGTTGGACTTTTGCAAGAATCGGGGGCCATTGGAGCATTTTTTTAAACAGAAAAAAGTGTCCAATGCGGGAATCGAACCCGGGTCATAGTGGTCGAAAACCAAACGGTTTACCAGCCTTCCACCGACCCCTGAGATAAAAAGAGTAAGGCGTAATAGTTCAGTTGGGAAAGCATTAGACTGAAGATCTAAAGGTCCCTGGTTTGAACCAGGACAAGAAAGACTCCAAGACTGATCACCACAAGGCAATTATATATAAGATTACTATATGGGTTGTATATGTTTAAAGACTGTGTCAATGACACTATGTGTGCCAGGTGTTTCCAGCCAACACTGCCCCTGAGGCCCTGGACCTCCTGGCCAAACTGCTGGAGTACACCCCGGAGTCTAGGCTGACCCCATCCGAGGCCTGCACCCACGCCTTTTATCACTGTCTGAGGGAACCTGGGGCCACCCTTCCCAATGGGAAGCCTCTACCACCTCTCTTCAACTTCTCAACACAAGGTTGTTGTTACATTGTTTGATTTTATGTGTTCAATAATAGCTAGTTTTTTTTTTGTTATTATAAGGTTGAGCAAAAAATTCTTTAACACCTGTGAAATATGCAAAGCAGAAGCACTATTTGATGTATCTACGTTGCATATAGAGGTAGCCAGTCTCAAATAAAACATGTTCTAACAGAAGGATGCCACTGGACAAACGGACACTCCAGATTCTAATACGCTACTGTTGAAGGCGACACCTGTAAACAAAAGGTGCCGCAATAAAGAATTTGTGATGTCTGCTGGGGATGAGTAGAGCTCATCAATGTTATATATTAATTATATTGATTATATATTATATATATATATATATTAAATATATCAATAAATGATCCATGGGAAAAGCATATGTTGTTTGGATGAGGCCACTAGCAAGAATGAATTTTTAATGTGAGAGCAATTCTGGCAATGATATGTTAATTGTTTATAAGTTTCTGCTATATATTAATTGTCAGGATAACAGAGTTTCCTGGTACTTCCTCTTAACTTGACTGGTAGGACCGGTTGGGGAAACAGAGGCGGCATGTGGAAGGGGAAAAAATGTACTGTAACTGCTGTAACTCCTGGGTCGATTTGGCTCAGGTATAGTAACCTTCATTTTATATTTAAAGTAAAATTTGGGAGCCTATTTAATTATTTTTTATTGCGACAATATATAATGGGGGTTCTACTGTATAACCAGGCTAAAATAATTGAGACTTAAAACTCAGGAGAGTTGGATGGCATAACCAAGTTTCTCTTCTACAGGAGACAACTTAACAATTCTATTACAGTCGACTCTCGATAATTTGAAACTCAAGGGACCCGAGAAAATTTTCATTTTATCAAGAGTTCAAAATAACAGGAGTTTGAACAACCAAGAGGGAGGGAGGAGAAAAAACCAAGTAAACAAGAGTTTAAAGTTTTGACAGTTTCGGTATATACATACTATGTTGATACAAGATTAAATGAGTGACTTATGGCTTGTTTTTAAAGTAATAAATTTATTGAGAGCTTTTTCGGATCTTGCCCTTTCTCAAACAAGAGTTTGATCTCCAAATTCCTGATTCATTATTTCAAACATTTGTTCAAATATTCATTTTAAATAGAAGTCCGTAATTTTTTGTCGAGTGCTATCCATTCAGTACGGCCACCTACGCCCAGTTGTGAAATGTGAAACTGCCGTCCGCTAAGTGTGGGAAATTTGAGCTCTAACTTTGTTCAGTTTATTCACGAACTGGTCTGGCTTGAGAAAGTTTTTCCCTCATATTTCAATTTTCAGATAGAATCTTACATATAAAAATTTATAATTTTAAACACTTGTACAGTTATTCACAAATGTTCATTTGTGGTATGATTCTATTCCTTCAACTTAAAAATTACTGAGTGGACCAATTAATATTGATTTTATTCAACTTATTGAGTGTTTTTCAAGGGACTGGGAAAAAATTTCAAATTATCGAGATATTCAAATTAATGAGTGTCAAATTATCGAAAGTCAACTGAATGCTATAACCTAATTGTTGTTTTAACCACAGTTAAATAAATAGAAACCTATAAAAATAGGCTGCAAGTTTCTCAACAGTACCTAGTGATAACTACAGATGGATTGTGTTATCTTTTCAGTTTAACAATACAGTTTGTGTGTATCCTACAGAGGTGGTGTACAATCCAAGACTGACAACCCTACTAGGACCGCCATCGAAAAACAAAAATTCCTCTGGGGAGCCATCATCCTCCACTCAGCCACGGAGTGGGTAGAGGGATGCCCAACATTTGTAATATATATATATACCTAACATTTACATAGATCTCTATTTTAATATTTGACTTAGTATTTTTGTTTCTTTATGTCTTTTGTTTTTATTTTTTGAGGAGAATAAAAAAGTATGCTTTATTTATTAGCTAGGGAAATAATTATTATTGTCATTACACACATTTTATATTTTACACACACTAAATTAAAAGTATCACTTTTTCTTGTAATTGTTGCTAAACCTTGCTTGAAAAAAAACGGAACTTTGATCATTTTTTGGTACTTTTGGTCCACGTGACATGGAATATGACATCCAGTCTTCCCACCAGTTTTGGCACATCTAGTTTTTCTCAAAATTTCTTTGGGGTTCAAGAATAGCTCCTTTCTGTTTGATCCGATACAGTCTAGAATGGGTTGTGGGTTTGTGAGGCATTCAATGCAGAGTGGGAAAGTTTTCCCACCCCCTCAAATGTGGCCTAGTGTAATCACCGCGGGAGAGATTGAACTCAAAAGTTCTCTTCTCTTATTTTTTTGCTGCTGTACCAGTGGCGTCCTTTTACTTACCAAGGTGGTAGTTTGGCTCTGAACTGGTGTAGGTAGTCTGTATTGCTTAGTTTAGTGGTGCTCTTTTCTATATTTTACTTTTAGGGCACCTGTTAGGTGAATGCATCAGCCTTTTCAATTTCTGAAATGCCTATGTGAGATGGAACCTATTGGAAGGTGATTGTGATTTTTTGTTGTTGTTAAAAGTCATTAGGGTTTGGGCTGTTTCTTTGAGAATGAGAGAATGGAGTTTTCTTTGTGAGCAGTTCTTGATGTTATGGATGGAAGCTTGTGTAAATCCACCAAAAGTCGGGTTTTGATTGGCTATAGCTTGAAGTCCTACATTTAACTCATTCTGTTGTCTCATTGAGATGCTGACACCACTGCCATAATATACATATTCTAGTAAACTACCTTCTGTGAAATATTTGAAGACTTGTTGATTTAAGATTTCTGGAGAATGGTGTTATTTTAGGATTGGTTCTGGACACAAGGTTGTCGTTGAATATAAGGTGTAACCGAGTTTTTTATGGAATGTTGTAGGTTTTTGTGGCTATTGGTATAGTTATGGCTATGTGTAGGAAGGAGAGTTTCTTAAGTCTGCTTTAGTGGTCTCCAGCTTCTTATAAATTTCTGTGGTCTTTTTTGGAGCATCGAATTTTATATATTTTTTGCATAGTTTTGCTGTTTGTTGAGATATTCAGATTTTGGAGTAGGGAAGGAGTTATGAGTACCACTAATTATCCTTGAGGCACTGACTTGTATTCTGTCTAGAATGTCATCAGTAGTGGCTTTTCTAGAGTAAATCCAGACTGGACAGACATATTCCTGAATGGGCCTAATTAAGGTCAGCCCCCCCCCCCCATTCTGTTCCTGAGATTCCCTTTAGGATGTTGAGCTTTTTGCTTTTAGATTTATGTTGTCAATGTGGTGAGTGAAGATGGGTTACCCCAAGGTATTTGGGGTGGCATTATATCTCAAGGGTTTGTTGTCAGTGGGGGGTTCCATTCACAGAGATGGTTGTTAATGGGGAGTTAAAGTAGCTGACTTCAAATCTGCAGTGTTTTGCTTGATTGACTAGAAACCTTTGTCATGTCAAGCCGTCTTTCAACTGAAACAGAGTAATATCTTCCAAGGAGAGTTTAGATATGTTTTTAGGCTATGGTCTCTTATGGAAACCTCTACTGTGATTCTATGGGAAAAAATTATATTGATTTAGCTTTAACAGAATCAATGATTACATCTATCGATTTAAAAGTAAGGAACAAAAACTTGAATATAAATAGGTCTCAAATCCTATATTTTTACTCACCATTAAAATATTAAAAAGCATTTAAATCCAAGTCTATAGATTATTTTTGAATACAAACGTTTGCAATTTGAAAAACAAATATTTTCTGGTCGTGATAAGGCACAATTTGAATTAGAAACACAAGGTAATGAGACCACAAATTCCAATAAATAAATAGTGTGTGACATTTTGGTAACAACGTTGTTACCATCATCAGATAAAGGTACTGAATGATAAAAAATATCACAGAATACTTTTAAATTACTTTAAATTACTTAAAATACTTTTAAGTTACTGTTATCAAATGTGTAAACAAGTTAATGGATAGAAAATATTTTTCTAAGAATGCTAAAATATTCTTAAAATAAGGAGTAAGAAAAAATCTTGTTTTTATATTTAAAATTTAAATAAGATGGGTTTTTTCCCCTTTCTAAGAATAATATTTTAGATTATATAATATATATATATATTAACACAAAGCAATAATGCGCCAGCTATACATATAAAATGAAAGGATTTAAAAGCACGAATGTTTCTTTTATACATAATACAAACTTCTAATGCCCTTACTGCGATGAAAAAATATATTGGGAGGGCTTGGCTCATCAGTGGTGAACCCTCCCAGCGGTCTGGTGGATTAAATTGGCGAAACCGCTGGGAGGGTTCACCACTGATGAGCCAAGCCCTCCCATTATATTTTTTCATCGCAGTAAGGGCAGTAGAAATTTTTAATATGTATAAAAGAAACATTCGTGCTTTTAAATCCTTTCATTTTATACATATATATATATTTAAATAAAAAGGCATATTGTGGCGAAGAAATAATTTATTATTTAATTTAATTATTCAACAAAAATATTTGAAACAGATTTAAAATTTTACATTTGTTAAATCATCATTTAGTTGCCTAGCTTGCTTGCTCGATATTCTCTAGCTGTACAGAGTTTGGTTAATTTGTTAATATATTGTCGACTAGTTGTGCTGACGTCATCAATAAATACTTTCACATCTCCAGATATACAACGACTTGATTTCTACGTTACAATATATTGGATCAAAATATCATTTATTTTACCAATATTTCAGTTGGCTGAATGCCAACCTTTATCAAGGTATT